CAGGTGCATAAACAGAGAAAGGCACGCGGCGACAGGCGCATATGTAGTGACCAATAAATGGTGGTGCGATCTCTGTGGCGATTTGCGAAGCAGATCCACCCACTTACCTCGACAACTCTTCACAGATCCGCCGCGACGGTGAAATGAGCAGTGTTTGTGTTGTGGCGATTTTGTCGTAGTGTCTGTGGTGTTTTTGTGTGGTTTGTGTGGTGGTGGGGCTGGCGATTGGGGTGGGTAACAGCTTTGCATTGTGTTTGTATGGTGGTGGTGATGGTGGTTGTGGTGGCGATTTTGTGGTGGTTGATCTGGCGGTTGGGGTTGCTAGCAGCGTGGTGGTGATATGGTTGTGTAGGTTGTGTGTGGTGGTATTACTGTGGCAGATTTGGGGATTTTTTTTTTGGTGGGGGTTATGGTGGTGGTGGACCTGGTGGTCATTGCGGTAGACGGCAATGGTTGTGACTCACAATATTTGATATGTGACCTGAAAATTGTGAATTGTGACTCCTGACTTACAATTGATTAAGTTGTGATCGAAAAATTAATCGTGACCAATTAATTCAATAATTTGGAACAAGTAAATGGATTGTGACCAATAAAATTTTTGAATATATGACCAATGAATAATATGTGACCTGTAAAATTTAGTTATTCATGACCAACTAATTAATTGTAAACTAAATATTCGATAATTTGTGACTGGAAATAATTTGTGATCAATTAATTTGAAAATTTATGACATACAAATAAATCGTGACTTGATTTGTGACCGATGAAATTAATCGTGACCAATTAATTTGATAATTTGCAATGAATAAATGATCTGTGACCAATAAAAGTTGATTCCGTGGCCAATGAATAATCTGTGATCTATAAAAAAAATTATTCGTGACCCAAAAATAATATGTGACCTATGAAAAATTTTATTTGTGACCAAAAAAAAAAGTTGTGACCAATAAATTGATAAGTTGTGACTAAAAATTAATCGTGACCAATTAATATAATAATTTGAAATGAATATATGAGTCGTGACCAATAAAAGTTTTGATTTTGTGACTAATGAATTATTTGTGACCTATAAAGAATTTTATTCGTGATTGAAAAATAATATGTGACCTATAAAATTTTTTATTTGTGATCAAAAAATTAGTTGTGACTGTTAAATTGATAAGTTGTGACTAGAAATTAATCCGTAACTAATTAATTTTTTGATTTGTGATCGATGAACAAACTCTGACCTTCAAGATTTTTGAATTGTGATCGTAAAATAATTTGTGACATAAAATTTTTGATTTGTGACCAAAAATAATAAATTTGTAATTAAATTGTTAATTCGTGATCAAATTGTATAGATCCGTGACCTAAATATATTAAATTAATAAAATAATTAAATCATAAATAAATTTAAATAAAAATCTGATATTTCAATTTTGAAACTTATTTTCTTAATTTTGAAATATACCATACTTAATTTCTCATCTATGAAATTTTCCCTTAATTAAATTTTTGTATATTTGGAAAGAAGTGCGAATAGAAGTTTCTTGGGCCAAATATGAACTCCAAAGCACATCCATGTTTGGCTAAATCTATTTTATACGTAAATTAAATTGTGCCACGCCCATAACAAGTTCCAATGGCTTATTAGTTATTACTGAAGTCCCGTTTATTTTTGTTAAAAATTATTATTATTATTATTGTAAATTTTGATGAAAATTGATAAAATATGTAATCTAAGTTGTGGATTATATGAAATATAAAATTAAAATTAATTATTTATTTAACAAAACTTTTTGATCAAAATTGATAAAATTTGTAATCTAGGTAATCAGTGGCTTTTAAGAGAAAAGTGGAACTCTTTTGTTATTTTAAACAGAAATTAACGTCACGAGAACTCTCAAGCAATATTAGTTGGCAAGAGAGCAATAATTCAATATTATTGGATTTCTAAAGCCAATTACAAATGCTTTATTCACTCAGAAAATTTTAGTGTGGTCCAAATATCGTAGAGATTACCTAAACTTTTTGAGTAATTTAACAGAGACCTATAATTTTTCAGTCCCAAATGTTTGCTAAAATTCTAAGTTTAGTCCAAAGATGATCGTACCATAGTTGACGAACTTTTAAAATATGATGATTAAACCCATGAGTATTCAAATATAGGGACACAAGATGGCATATGAGGTGTACGATGGGTTAGACTAAGTATAGATCTACCATGGATCACATTGGATCCGCAAACCACAAGCTTCGAAAGTTAGACGTAGCTAGGAATGGTAATTAGATTCGTCGGCTAGGGTCACCTGTGGCTCAACCAGAAAAATGTTCGAGTCGGCTCGGCTCGACGCTCGGGCCAAGCCATTTTGGGGAGCCAGCCTATGTAGCTCGTTGGGCCGACTCGTGGAGAAAAATGAACTAGAAGAAGAAGAGGTAGCTGCCTCAAAAAAGGCAGCATTATGTATCATATTGAGAGAGAAAAAAAAAAAAAAAGAAGAGTTGGCTCAACAAGGCCTGAGTCAAAAGCTCAGGTCAAGCCTCGATTTTTTGGTCAAACTTTTGCTCGACTCAACTCGACTCTGGCAAAAAAAAGTTCAATTTAATTTTACTCGAGTCGAGCCAGAGTCTCGAGTTTCGACTCGTTGACATCCCTAGACGTAGCACAAGTTGTTTTTCTAGATGTACAAGCCTAGTTGGACTAAATTTAAGAATAGGTGAAATAGTGCGTTTTGAATGAGTCAGCTATTAAATTAGAACTCGTTATTGACTATGAAATTTGAGTTTAATATTTGAGAGGTCGATGTAATGATTCTTTAACACAGTAAATCTATTCCAACTTTAGTTTCCTTAAATCAAAGATGAATCACTTAATTGTTATCTCATTTAACCCCCATTTAGTACACATTAATGTAAAAATGATAATGAAAAATATAGTCATCACGGATCCCACACAAGAGATAGAAAGTCAAATATGGTGGTTTGATGTGATGAATAACGGTCATATTTTTCATTTTAATGGGCAAATAATGAGAAACGGACGAAGGCTAGATTTATTATGAGATATTGTAATAATAATAGCTTGCCATATATCAAAGCTAAGCTAGAGGCCTTTTCTTTTCATAATATATAAATATTAAGTGTAGCCACCCTTTAAGTAACTGATGAGGTTCGTGTGGAGGAATATGCACTTGTATATATGGATCGCTTGGATAGTCGGCGTTAAATTGGCATAACTTTTGCATACGGTGTCCATTTTAAGCTCATAACCACATTCCAGAAAGCTCGCAACGATTCTGGATAAATTCACAACGCTGTGATGTATGATGAATTTTGGTCGTTTGGATTCGCTTATTGGGTCGAGACGGCATTTAAAGTTTCTTAGTTTATTGTTTTCAGTATTTATTATTCTCGCTTTGTAGCCCAGCCCATTAAGGGACTACTGACCCAGTATGTTATCTATTCTTTTCGTATTTAAGACTCTGAAACGTCTCCTAGGGTTTCTAGTTGTTCATGAAATAAGAAAACGTTTGTTTCTTGAGTTCAATCCGTTCGAGTTGCTAGTATTGTGTGTTTGTAGATTCGATCTACATCAATAACCTAAAGTCTAAAGCTAACATCACCATGTGGGAATAAAATACGAATCTTTGACAAAAGAAAGACTTAGAATCGTTTTTTTCTCTCGATGACAAAGGAAGTCCCATTTATGGAGACTTAATAGGGTGACGACATTGCCATAATTAAGCATAGGATTTGTGACAGTGTAATAGGTTGTCTGGCTAAAAAGTTGGTCAAATTGTCTTTTTAAGTAACTTCTATTTATCAAAGCATCTAGTCAGTAGGTTTTTCGAAATAGTTAAAAATTGCTTTTAAGATTAAGAAAATGTTAATATGTTTGAATAGTTTCTCGAAAATAACTTTTAGAGGAAGTTGACTTAATACAATTTTCTCAAGAAGATTTATACAAGAAGAAGAAGTTTTGTTAATAACCTAAAGTCTGAAGCAAACATCAATAACCTAAAGTCTAAAGCAAACACCACGATGTGGGAATAAAATACGAATCTTTGACAAAAGAAAGACTCAAAATCGTTTTTTTTCTTCTCTCGATGACGAAGGAAGTCCTATTTATGGAGACTTAATAGGGTGACGACATTGCCATAATTAAGCATAGGATTTGTGACAGTGTAATAGGTTGTCTGGCTAAAAGTTGGTCAAATTGTCTTTTTAAGTAACTTATATTTATCAAAGCATCTAGTCAGTAGGTTTTTCGAAAAAGTTAAAAATTGCTTTTAAAATTAAGAAAATGTTAATATGTTTGAATAGTTTTTCGAAGATAACTTTTAGAGGAAGTTGACTTAATACAATTTTCTCAAGAAGATTTCTACAAGAAGAAGAAGTCTTGTCAAACGATTCAGGGTATGGTTTGCAACTTTTTTTCTACTACACATCAATTATTGATACAAGCAATCTAGGCGATTAAAAATATGTAAACAAATGCAAAGAATTCCCTTTGGTGGGGATGTCCATTAAAGGTACTTGAATTGATTTAGCATAAAATTTACGAGGTATGACTGCTCTTTTGTTGCATTCCTTAAACCAAATAAGTGATGCATTAGTCAAACATTAATATTTCTTTATTTTATTTGATGAAATGATAATATAAGAATGCAAACGAGTGATCAAGTTTAAAATACATAATAATTAAATTTAAATAGAGCATTCTTCTTCAAAAGGTTGTTGTAGTATGGTGGTGAGTATCCGATCATCACTTGGTGAATCGAATTTAATCTAGGTAAAGGAGTTATAAAACTTCTTTGTATGCAATTTCAATCTAGTATGTCACACAGGTGACGAGGGTTCGATCCCCTGCAATGGGCAAAATTTTTAATTTTGAAGCCATAAGCTTTTTGACTGAGTATAGATCTACCACAGATCACGTTGGATCCATCAAACCACAAGCTTCAAAAGTTAGACATAGCACGAGTTGTTATTCTAGATGTACAAGTCTAGGTTGGACTAAATTTAAGAATAGGTGAAATATTACCCGTTTTGAATGAGTTGATTAAATCAGAGCTCGTTATTGACTATGAAATTTGAGTTCAATATTTGAGAGTCGATGTAACGATTCTCCAACATAGGAAATCTATTCCAACGTTAGTTTCCATAAGTTAGAAATGAATTATTCAATTGTTATCTCATTTAATTTATTATGAGATATTGTAATTAAAACAGCTTGCCATATATCAAAGCAAAGTTAGAGAGGCCTTTTCTTTTCATAATATATAAATATTAAGTGTAGTCACCCTTTAAGTAACCTAAAGTCTAAAGCAAACACCACGATGTGGGATCAAAATATGAAT